GCAGGGAATGCTATTGTTTGGTGTTTGCATGGTGTTTCCTCAGGAACGAGAAAGTTTGCGCGGCGCGCGCGCGCTGCTCTTGCTCCGCGAGGGAATAAGAGAACACACGGCGGCGCGGCGAGGCGCTGTGTGCGCGCGGAGCAAATGTGGAGAGAGAGAGGGAAGGAGTTTGGGCTGCGAGAGGGGCCAGGGACCTTCACGACTACTACTTCTACTCCCGCGTATCACTTACCGCCGTGTTAGTAGCGCCGCGGTGCCGGGCACGCGAGATGCCTCTTATCTCTCCCATCTGCCTCTCACTATGCGATCTTCATACCGGGCGCCGCTGCTGCTGCCCTTGACTTCCCAATGGCCCCTGTCACCCCTCGTGGAGGGGAGGGGAGTAGAGAGGAGGGAGGGGGGAGGGCCTCATCTGCATGCGGCCGAGGGGTTAGTGGCGTTGGCGTGTCGCCCCCCCCCCCTCCTCGCCCTCCCTCCCCTCGCCCTTCCTCACCTCACCCTACCTCTTACTCAGGGCCAGGACACAATAGTGGGAATGACTAGAGAGGGCGGGAAACTTTGACGGCAGGGGAACCACCTCCTCCCCTCAAACGCGTTGCCCGCCCCCCTCTCGCCTCCCGTATACTAGTCCCCCGTCTGAGGCCCTCCTGGCTTGCTTCTTGTTCAGCCCGCACGACTGCAGTGTGAATTGATGAGGGTGGTTCTGAGTGGGAAGGCAAGCGCGGCGGAACACGACGGGAGCCGTCTGTCGAGCTGCCTCGCGCAGGTGGAAGGTGCGGTGCATCTCAGAGCCCCAGCCAACCGACGGGCGTGTTCGTAATCTACTTTGTGGGCGGCAGCCAAGCCATTTCGAGCTCCACCTCAATGAGAGTCACCATCCGGGAACCGTATAATAGAAGGACGCCGCGACGCTGCCTGGCCTTGCGGCGATCACAACAAACACTTGCAAACCCGACATCACGAAAAATGTGCTTCCGATTGAATGTCAGGTGCACATTCTGAAAGCCAAGTGTGTGTGTTTCAAAGGAAAATTCGCATCTTTGCTATCTTAAGTGTATTGGCATCCACATGCCGGGTGTAACTGTGAATACGCAGCAGTGTTGCAGGTTTGCCTACTCTTTACACCCGTAAAAGGGCCATGGCCCCTGCGGCCATATATAGGGTATGCAATCCCGCAACACTGCTGCGTGCGTACATCTACAAGCGTGTGACATTAATACACACTTGCGTTTCTTCTGCATATTACAAAGCAAAGCACACTGTTGGGTTCGCAGTAGAACCTTTCAACCGGATGAGAATGGCCGCACCTCATTTATTTCCCCACCGCCCTTGCTATGTACTACTCGGACGTAAATCTCCCCGACGCGCGCGCACCACCGCATCTCTCCCGGTTTTCCCCCCGGGACACCTGTTGCGCGCGCCGTGTGTCTGAGGAGGGCGACGGCGGCGACCGGGCCGGGCCGGGGGAAAAGTTTGGGATCGCGTGCGTATCGTGAAGCAGGAGCAGCAGAAGCAGCAGCAGGAGTAGCAGGAGCAGTAGCAGGAGCAGTAGGAGTGACAGGGGGAGGATCAGTAGCAGCAGCAGCAACAGGAACAGCAGCAGGAGTAGGAGCAGTAGGAGCGGCAGGAGGAGGAGGAGCAGAAGCAGCAGTGGCAGCGGCCTCCCTCCTCCCGGCCGCAAAGGACTTCCCTATATATCCACCTCCTCGGGACACTTGCGTACCGCGGAGAGGAGAACACAACAAACACACCACCCGCAGCACAACGCCTCGCGGGCAGAAGAGAGGGGTGGGGTGCATCATGTGTGTGTATGTGTGTGCGTGTGTGTGTTTGGATAACGTGGCTCCCCTTGCTGCGGTGTGCGACGTGTGGCCTTGATACTGGCAGGGGCCGCGCGGCAGTTACGTAAAAAAAAGGAAAAGGAGATGGGTGGGGGCATTGTAAGAAACGCGGAGGCACCGCGAGAGCGAGGTTAGCCGAGTAAGAGCAGAAGGGCACAGGGCGGAAAAAAAGGGGAATTTAATAAAAATGCGTGTGGGTTTTAAGTAACAAGTGGGCAAATGGCAAACAACGTTTTTTGTGTGTTTTATCTCTTTTCGCGGGTTTATGTGCTTCATGTCTTCTTGTTTGCACTCCGTCTCTCCCCGCGTTTGGCTCCCATACTTGTTCCCACGCCCCATGTTGGATTACCCTTTCCAGCCTGCAGCCCTGTACAGACGAGTAGTGCCGTGCTGCTGTCTGTCTGATTCGATTTCCCCCCTCTCTCTCTCTCTCTCTCTCTCTCTCTCTCTCTCTCTCTCTCTCTCTCTCT